TCTTATTATAATAATCTTTCTATGAATAAAACATTAGAATATCAATCTGCGTGTGATACTTAAAAATATAGAGAACGATGTTCAATTTCTTAACATCGGTATTATTATTAGCAACAATGAACGCGTGTTATGGAATTATCTCAAACATGTACAATAAATTCTCCCAAATTGTCCCTCAGCTTGTAAACAAAAATGGACAATTTAAGAAGAGAGAATACGATTATTCGTATTATTATATATTATACTATATATTATATTATTCTATATATTATATATACTATATATTATATTGTACTATATATTATATATACTATATATATTTTTTATATTGTACTATATATTATACTATAAAGTTGCCGATCGTCAACAACTATAAAAACGAGCCGCGAGGCCCGAATAATCGCATCCCCCTTTCCCAAGTTTTGTTCACGAGCTGACAGACATTTTAGTAAAATTTACTGTACCTCGTATCATTTCTTAGCAAAACTAGAATGCTTCTCCACTTTCTTTGTGCCGACGACTAGCAGAATGCATCCTCCTTCGAGAACAGGTTCACGGAATCGTGCGAAATAAACGTTATGTAATTCGGCAACTATTTCAGACCTGCCTGGCAGCTACATTAGCTGCGCCCCAACTGAAACAGAAGAGGGACATTCTGCCAGGCGATCCACGGTACGGAACCGATTACCATCACAATCATCACCATCACCCGGAGACCGTGGTAGAGTCCACGAAATCCATCGGCGGTTATGCTTACAGTATCCCGGAGACTCCCCTGCCATTGCCGCAGGAAGTTTACGGACCCCCTAGCTATCACCCAAGTATCCCCGTGAGCAGCGACTACTTACCACCGACCCTCGGCTTGAAGTACACCGCGCCGATCCAGACATACGGTGTACCCGCCGGAGTTCACGTAATTATTGCTTGTTCATCTCCATCGGAAAAATAGTGGTATTGTTTTTCAAGCGATGCAGAAAATATTTTTACCGATGTCTTACAATTCAGAACTTATTTGATTTATTTATAAACGTTTGTCTAAGACTTTAATGGAGCTTTTGATACCGGTGAAAAATAATTCAGAGTGTTGCTGAAGCAGCATGATTTATTAGGCTGCAGCAAGTTTGAAATGATTAAAAATTAAAAATATCAAATTATTGAAATTATTAAAAATTAAAAATATTAAATTATTGAAATTATTTGCTGTCGAGTGGCGACTCCGAGGCGACGCTAAAAATTGCTACGATAACAATTATTATGCTAAATACTGCTACGCTAAAAATTGCGACGCTAAAAATTGCTATGCTAAAAATTACTATGCTAAACATTGCTATGCTAAACATTACCACGCTAAAAATTGCTACGATAAAAATTGCTACGCTAAAAATTGCGACGCTAAACATTATCACGCTAAAAATTACTACGCTAAAAATTGCTACGCTAAAAATTGCCACGCTAAAAATTATTATGCTAAAAATGTCAACGCTAAAAATTGCTACGCTAAAAATTACTACGCTAAAAATTGCGACGCTAAAAATTGCTACGCTAAAAATCGCTACGCTATTTTCAAAAGAATTTTCGCGTTGTTAAATTTGTTCGTATTCGATAAATTGTCGAATAATAGAAGACTTCTGTAAGCATACGCCTCCAATTTATTATGTATCAAGTAAAAACAATCATACCAAATGGAAATAATATTAGTTGAAACAAATTTCTTCATTCTGGAGTTAAAATAGCCTCGAGTGCAAAGGGTTAATCCCTTCTACGTATATTTTCTCCACAGATTTATATGTATAATTAAAGAATTAAAGAATATATTTCAATCTTTTGTTATGCACACGATCAAATGCTATTGCTTACCGTAATTTTTGCAATAAAATCTACAGTTCCAATGACGTTGATATGGCGACATTCGTCCTCGAAGGATTAAACGCGTGAACATATTTTACAATCCATCTTATCGTCAATTCAATCAACATATTATTGTCAGCGATTTCGCCTGTGACTGGATCATGAAATGAAAAGAATTACATTTCATTGCAGTTTCCTCTGGTTACACCGACGACTCCAGCACCAGCTGTTCTGGACGTGAAGACGATAGCGAGCACGTCGCTGCCACTTCCACTCGAGAAATCGCAGGTGCAGTTCAGTGATTATAACAGCAAAACCACATAAATCGCGTTGTCAAAGAATTTCAGTTTAATCTCTGCGAGTCTAAACACACGGGCGCTATTATTTTCAAAAAAAAAGAAGAAAAAAGTAAAACAATCAGAATAGAAAACATACAAGCCACATTGTTCAAAATAATAGTAAACAACGCAACCGTTTTATTTCCAGACAGTGACTCTATCACCGCTGGCCACGTCGTATGGAACTCCAGTAGTCGATCATGCAAAGGTAAATTAATATTCATCGTGGAAACTGGCCAGCTGTTTTACGACGGCAGCGAATAACATGGAGCGTGAACCTTTTTTTTTCTAGACCACCGTGGAGACCATTGAAACTCCTCTGAAATCGGTAAAAACCGAAATTCATGGTCACTCTTCCCTGGACCTGTCCAAGCGCCTGTTGAAGGTCAAAGAACACACGCCTCTTCTCCACGGTAAGAACGAAGATCTTATTCCTTCTCCTCAGAGAAAAGTAGTTTACACGTGAAAACTGGCAAGATCCGAATTATCATACGCGTGGTTACGTAACGCTTCGATTTCGAAACGCTGTCAATACATTTCGGAGCGAGACGATCCATGATGGCTTGACAAATAGCGGCGGAGCGGTAATTTATGCACCAAAAATGTTGGACGGAGCTCCTCCGAACATACATCACGACGTTTTTAATATTCATGCCGAGCAGCGTCTCTCTCCGAGTGTTGTTCGCTTCTTGACTCCAACATTTGTTTTGCATATTCGAAGAGATAGAGTAGCGATTAATATGGGTGTCCCAAAATTATTGTAAAAGCGAGAAGCGAAGGGTTCCTGAGGTCATCTGAAGTAACTTTTTCCTTTGCAAACATTTTCTCCGATGCGTCGTTTACGAGTTATTAATGAAAAACGCTAACCAATGAGAGGCGAGCTCGGCCGAGCCAACCAGTCGACGAAGCCCAGTTCCGCTGATTGGCTCGGCCGTCTCGCGCCAGCCGAGCGCTCGCCTCTCATTGGTCAGCGTTTTTCGTTAATAACTCGTTAACGATGCCTCGGAGAACATTTTTGTAAAGGAGAAAGTTACTTCAAATGATCGCAGGAATCTCCCCTTTCCGCGTGTTAACGCTTTGACGGCCAGAGTCACGTACACGTGACTTCGCGAAGATTTAAATTATAGAAATCGATGTGGCGTAACTTCTTGAAGAATGCACTACAATTATATTATTAGTCAAACTTATCCAGTTTATATTAATAATAATAATAATAATAATAATATAATAAATATTAATAATAATATATTAATCATAATTGCCCTATTAAAAAAGTGTATTACAATTACGCTATTAATACTTCGACCGCCGCGACTCTCACATTTATTTAAAACACACATTTCGTTACATAAAATTGAATTCTCGAAAATTAATTTCTTCGCTTGTCCACTATAATCTCTTAATTTCATTAAGATTCGCAAGAGGTAAAGAATATCGTAAAAGTAATTGCACGTCGCATAAATGTGCTGTGCAATTTACATTTCACCGAACAAAATACTTTCACTTCATGAAACTTTCGACGCGTTCACCGCGGCCGTCAAACCGTCAACAGAAAATTATACACTCTCTATAACCATGCTAAAAAGAGTCTAAACGAAACTGCCATAACTGTCGCAGGATTAACCCAGTTCACCGGCGGAGTACAGAGCCTCCCATCGGTGACGAGCAGCGTGACTAAGAATTACGTCAGCGGTAGCCTGGTGAACAAGAATCTGCCGACGCTGCAGTCCACGGTTGGCCTGGTCCCGACCTTGAGCCACGCCCCATCGGTTTACAGGAACGACCATACCACGCTGACCGGGGTCCACGCGGACTTCTCGGGATACGGAGCTCCCCTGACATCGGTCCACGGTTTGAAAACACTGAACACCGACGCAGGCCTGCCCTCTCTCCACGGTCTGACGTCTGTCAACGTTGCAGCTCCTGTTGCCCAACTCCACGTCACCAAGACTCTCCCGACCTTGCAACACCAAACCTACGGACTGCCCCAGACCACCTATCACCTTCCAGAGTCCCACGCTCGCCTCGAGCACGTCGAGCCCGCTGTCGAGACGTTCCAAACAGTGACGCCCGCGCCTCTCCTGCAAAGCGTCCGCACTTATCAGCCAGCCTATCAGGCCGCGTCCTTCGACACCCTGCATGCCCAACCTCTACAGACCGTGCACACCTTCCCATCCGTGAAGACCGTGGACACCTTGACTCACGTCGAGCCTGTTAACACTGTGAACACTGTCAAAACGTTCGAGAGCCTGACACCAGTGCAGCATGCACCTGCTCTGCACTCTTACCAGTCTCTGCCTACCAGCGTCCATCCACTCACCTCGGTCAAGACCTTCGAGACCTTGAACCCGGTGCATCATGCAGAGTCCGTGGACACTGTGCATTCTGTTCAGCCGTTCACCTCGGTGAAGACCTTGAAAACCGTGACGCCGGTGCTGCATGCGCCAACTGCGCATTCCTACGAGCCTCTGCCCACTGTTCACCCAGTCACCTCGGTCAAGACCTTGGAGACCTTGAGCCCGGTGCACCATGTAGAGTCCGTGGACACTGTGCATTCTGTTCAGCCGTTCACCTCGGTCAAGACCTTGAAAACCGTGACGCCGGTGCTGCATGCGCCAACTGCGCATTCCTACGAGCCTCTGCCCACTGTTCACCCAGTCACCTCGGTCAAGACCTTGGAGACCTTGAGCCCGGTGCACCATGTAGAGTCCGTGGACACTGTGCATTCTGTTCAGCCGTTCACCTCGGTCAAGACCTTGAAAACCGTGACGCCGGTGCTGCATGCGCCAACTGCGCATTCCTACGAGCCTCTGCCCACTGTTCACCCAGTCACCTCGGTCAAGACCTTGGAGACCTTGAGCCCGGTGCACCATGTGGACGCTGTTAACAGCGGATCTCACGCGGTCGATGCCCTAGAGACTCTCGATCATCTGGTCGACTCCGTGGACGTTCTCCCAGCTGTCCAAAGGGCGCACACTTACACGAACGTGGTCCGAACGTCGCCCGTGATCCAGAAGAACGTGAACGTCCAGGTGCAGAAGGGGCCGATCGGCGACTTCATCTCGAGTCTGGAGGCTAACCTGCCGTCTCTGCCATCGTTTCCCCAGCTGCCGTCGTTGCCGTCGTTCTCGTTACCGTTCGCGCCAAGCACCAGCACCACTGTCAGCCCGATCGAACCCACCGTCAGCCCGATTGCAACGCCCAACAGCGTGAACACCTACGTGTCCGAGGACCATCTCAAGGATTCCGTAACGGTCGAGAATCCGCTGTTCCGCCTGGACGACGCGCCGAGCCACGTGCTCGCTCAGCATCATCTCGCGCACTCGAACGAGTACGTTCAGCCCACCGACGAGAACGGCGGATACGTTTATTAAGGACGAGAACGTTTCGGGGATGAACGTGATCGCGGTTTTCGCGGCGACGCGGTGACGCGGAATCCGAGCAGATGACATTTTCTCCTTTGGATCGAGTCCGTAGCGACGAGGACGCGGTCCGCGAACACGCGGGGCGGAGTTAACGTGTCGGGAGTGTAGACGCTAACAATGATTGTATACACACTTTGTAAGTAAATAAAATTTTTTTATTTCACGTATTGAGCCAATCGATCACAATCCTGCCCGACGACCACGGTTTTCGTTGCGTTGCTGCGGGAGGCGTAGATAGATGTTGATAGTATGTGTATATATATAATTATTATTATTATTTATAATAATATGATTAATAATAATATATATAATAATATAATTATATAATAATATTATATATAGTATGGACAGGGTGTCCTAAAATTATGGTATTTCCGAGAAACGAGGGATTCCTGAGGTGATTTGAAGCAACTTTTTCCTTTGCAAAATTTTTCTCCGATGCATCGTTAACGAATTATTCATGTAAAACGCTGACCAATGAGGGGCGAGTTCGCTCGGCGCTAGGCGACCGAGCCAATGAGCGGAACCGAGCTCCGTGCGCTCGTTGACTCGGCCGCCGCGCGCCAACCGAGCTCGCCTCTCATTGGTCACTGTTTTTCGTTAATAACTCGCGAACGAAGCCGCGGATTGCAATTTCGCTAAGGAAAAAGTTACTTCAAATAACCTAACCAACAAGTTATCTTCAATTTCCTGGAAGTAGCATAATTTTGGGACACCCTGTATAATAATAATATTATGTATAATTTTATTATATATTAATATTATCATATACATAATTATATATATAATAAATAAATATATATATAGTATATATATGCGAAGAAGACTCAACATTTCTCAATCTCGTAGAATAGCAAATAGGTTCGAGGTTTCAGCACCCAAACAGCTGATCTCTTGCGGAACGACTTAGTGGTCTTACGTTGTAATAATTGAAACGTTGCTAAGGCACTCGTACAATCGTCGATAGTGATTAGAGACTGCTGATTTCATGCGATTATTAAAAAATAATAATTATAACATTGTTACTGAACGTCGTTCTAAAACATTTTCGTTCTGCGCGAAGTCTCGGCAGTCCGGTGATCGGTCATCGAAATTCTTCGTCTACGCGATTCGTTCAGTTCTATGAGCAACATGAAAGTGACACTCTAAAAATGGACCCTGTTTCGGCTCTTCGACCACTTCGGCCATTACCATAAATGGCATTTCTTCGGTGGGTTCATGTTCGATCCCACAGGGCATCCCCAAGCTTTGCTGAACTCCTCGGAATTCTTCAGGACGCCGTGAAGTCTCACGTGTCCTGGACAATGGCTATCCTGCAGTATCCACTCCAGAGCCTTGGACGTATAGGTCTCGCACCACACCTGAAAGCAATTTGAATTGTTACATTGCCGTCTGCAACGATTGCCAATCGAAACATTTCGGAGAGTTGAATGAATAACAACCGATCGAATATTCACGAACGGCGAGCGAAATTTCGTGTTCTTATAAATAAGTAAGCATCGATTAATGAATTGTTACTCTCGCAAGGACCCTTTCCAATCATTCATCAGCTGTCCGATTATACTACAAAACAACTTGCTTAATCGCAAACCTGTTTTTTAATGAATCGAGTATTCGAATACGTCGTTGCAATGGAGAATGCTAAAAGCCTTAATGACTTAATGGTTCTTGTGTAACGTTATTTCTCATAATATTGATTCGCGACACGGAAGCTCTGCTTTTTCGCGCTCGCCATTATTAGCTATGCCAATTTTACAAAAAAAACAAACAAAAAATACATATAATACAGAAAATATTACAGAAGAACTTCGATCAGCCAATCTAAACAGAGTGGCTTAATGACCGATTAATGGAACAGTTACTTAACACCAAGCCTGCCGTTCTCAAACACTAACTGACATGCGTTGCGTCGTATAAATAACGATATGATATTTATTTCGATTTTTCGCTGTTGTTATAGGAAATTTTTTTAATCATTTCGTAAAGAAGCTTGCATAATTTTGACAATTTAGAGCAAAAAATATGAAACTGTTATTTTGACCGGTACGATAGTAATCAGTATAAATTACAATGCCAGGTTTAGTAATTATTACAGTAATTTCTCCCTAATTCGCGCACAAAAATGGATAATTTGGGAAGAAGATATACGATTATTCGAGCTTTGTGGCTCGTTTTTATAATTATCGATTGTCAACAACTATAAGAACGAGACGAAAGGCTCGAATAATCGTATCTCCTCCTCCCAAATTGTACATTTTTGTGCGAAAACTTAGCGCGAATTACGGAGAAATTACTGTATAATGAATCGCATTGCGTATGAATTGCCGCAATAATATTGGTAAATAAGTTCGCGTGGTTTTAATTTCGATTTAAATGTTCCGCACAATAATTGCCTATCAATTATGTCTCGTACGTCGTCCGAAAGCTTTGATCTTCTCCTGTTATGCGATTGTTTGTTTATTCGTTCCGCGTGAGTAACAAAGTGATTAATTATTTGAAAACTGTGCGGTGCCAAGGTAACAAGAACGACCATCTCCGACATATTTTGCTGTACCATTAAATAGTAAACGTTTAAATTCTTGTCAACTTGACATTCTATAGTTTTTAAAAAATTAATCATTTTATTACGAATTTAGAAACTACTTATTTGAAAACCACAGACTGTCGAGTTAACAAGAATTTAAACATTTGCGGTTCAATCGTACAACAAACCATGTCGGAGATGTTCATTCTTGTTAATTTAACACTCCATAGTTTTCCAAAAATTAATCACTTTACTGTTCGCATGGTACGAATAAGTAAACAATCGCATGAGACATAATTGTTAGGCAATTATTCTGCGGAGAATTGAAATCGAAACTAAACCACTCGAACTTGTGGACCGATCCAATATTGTAGCATCGAATAGTCGAGGTTCTACTGCATCGAAATGTTAATAAACTTTTGAAAGAAAGGCTCCGAGAACGACCATTCGATGACGTAGGAGACATGATTGTTAGGCAATTATTCTGCGGAAAATTTAAATCGAAATTAAACCACTCGAACTTGTGAACCGATCCAATATTGTAGCAACGAATAGTCGACGTTCTACCGCATCGAAATGTTAATAAACTTTTGAATGAGGATCCGAGAGCGACCATTCAATTTTCGTCATTCCATGACGTACGAGACATAATTGTTAGGCAATTATTATGCGGAAAATTGAAATCAAAATTAAACCACTCGAACTTGTGAACCGATCCAATATTGTAGCATCGAATAGTCGAGGTTCTTCTGCATCGAAATGTTAATAAATTTTCGAAAGAGAGGTTCCGAGAGCGATCATTCGATGACATAGGAGACATAATTATTAGGCAATTATTCTGCGGAGAATTGAAATCGAAATTAAACCACTCGAACTTGTGAACCGATCCAATATTGTAGCATCGAATAGTCGAGGTTCTTCTGCATCGAAATGTTAATAAATTTTCGAAAGAGAGGTTCCGAGAGCGATCATTCGATGACATAGGAGACATAATTATTAGGCAATTATTCTGCGGAGAATTGAAATCGAAATTAAACCACTCGAACTTGTGAACCGATCCAATATTGTAGCATCGAATAGTCGAGGTTCTTCTGCATCGAAATGTTAATGAATTTTCGAAAGAGAGGTTCCGAGAGCGATCATTCGTTGACATAGGAGACATAATTATCAGGCAATTATTCCACGGAAAAGTGAAATCAAAATTAAACCACTCGAACTTGTGAACCCATCCAATATTATAGCAACGAATAGTCGACGTTCTACTCCATCGAAATGTTAATAAACTTTCGAAAGAGGGGCTCCGAGAGCGACCATTCGATTCTCACGAAGGTCTACGATTTGCATAAACGTTCGTAGTCTAATTACGAATATTGACAAAACCGATCGGCCGGTTCGATCCCCGGGCACGCGGTTAAAAGCTTTCGCCGGGAGCATCAGCGATTCAGCCGCGAACAACGAATCTCCATCAGCGGGTCGCCTGTGTTGGGTAATCGCAAACGGGAGAGACGCGTTGGCATCTTACGTGCGCGAAGCCGAGGAAAACAAGCTGCTCGTGAGTGAGATGTGTGAATCCCGGAAGTAGCGGCTCCTGACCGTGCCTGGTCTTCCATCTTTCGTAAGCGATGACAGCCTCCCTAAGGCCGCCATTATCCGCTATATTCTCGCCCAATGTTCGTTTCCCGTCGATGTAATCGTCTACCTGGGGAAGACAAACTGCTGATCAAACTCTCGACGTCTCTCAAACTCGAACCGATCGTGATTCATCTATCGCGCCAGGCGGAAGAGTTAAGCAGCTACAGCATCGTTAAAAATAGAATCACCGTGTTCGTCAATTTGAAACTTTGACTGCTTAATCATCGAGGCTGAATGAATGTATAGTAAATTTTGTGATCGACTATGGTCATTCTATTCGGAGATAACATGTTAAGAAAACTTTGAGGAGGATTCTGTCTAATGATGAACATATTGTCGAGAATTTTGATTAGTTAAATTAAATTAGTTACATTAAAACAATATCTTAATCCGCACGGATGCGATTATCGCATGATTGAAGATAATTAAGATAGAATTTTATGTGTTTTGTGTGTTTTAAAATTAAATTGTTGTATACTAAATATAGTAAATTCTTTCTAATTTTCCTTCAGCTTGTAAACAAAAATGGACAATTTGGGATGAGGAGATGTGATTATTTGAGCCTTGTACCTCGTTATTATTATTGTTGGTAATCGGTAAATATAAAAATGAGTCGTGAGGCTCTTCTCAAATTGTCTGATTTTGTTTGCAAGCTGAAGGAAATTTAGGGAGATTTTATTGTACTAATATGGATATACTAATATTGTACTAATATTTCACTAATAATGTACTAATATTGTATTAATATTTTACTAATAATGTACTAATATTGTACTAATATTTTACTAATATTTTACTAATATTGTACTAATATTTTACTAATATTGTACTAATATTTTACTAATATTTTGCTAATACTGTACTAATATATTTTACTAATATTGTACTAATATTTTGCTAATATTGTACTAATATTTTACTAATATTGTACTAATATTGTACTAATATGAATTTTGCTAATATTGTATTAATATAAATTGTACTAATACTCTCCTCTCAGTTTCTGTGAATTCGACTGAGAAATCTATGCAAATATTTCTTACAGAAAAACGATGCCAAAGAATTTATCAAAGTAAACGACGTAGGTTTTATATTTCAAATTCATCGAATAGAATTAAGCATTGAAAACTTGCCTCCTCTTCGTAGTAGCTATTATAGTGTTTAATAAAACACTCGGTCTTCGCTGTGTACTCCGAAATAGTCTCGTTGGTCCACCATTGTCTCACGTTGCCAGCACTGTCATAGTGTCTTCCATTGTTGTCGAAACCGTGTGTCAGTTCGTGACCAAGTACTGTGCCAATGGCGCCATAGTTTAAAGCTCTACAGTCAAAGAAATATTTCAGAGTGTCGTACAAAATATAGTATAATGATTTTTGTCGTTTACGATTCAACTACAGGATCTACAGGATATCCCAAAATTATTGTACATCCGGGAAATGACGGATTCCTGAGGTCATTTGAAGTAACTTTTTCCTTAGCGAAAATGCAATCCGAGGCTTCGTTTACGAGTTATTAACGAAAAACAGTGACCAATAAGAGATCGCTGACGCTCCACCTCCCGGGACCACCGCCGCTGCGTCAGACTGGCGGCGCGACGCGGCATTGGCCGCAAGTGCGGAGCGCCAGCCGCACTCGCCTCTCATTGGTCAGTCTTTTTCGTTAATAACTCGCAAACGAAGCATCGTATTGCATTTTCGCTAAGGAAAAAGTTACTTCAAATGACCTCAGGAATTCCTCATTTCAAGCTTGTACAATAATATTGGGACACCCTGTATACCGAGAACGGATAAGATGCTACAACGATTCATTGAATGTTCATAGCGTTTAGGTCATTTATAGCTGGATTACGTAGACGAATCGATAGAAATCATTATATAGAGTATCGAATATATTAGCGAAGAATTGATCTTACTCTAGACCCAGTTCGTAGAATGGGAATTGGAGGATTCCAGCTGGTATAGCTGCATGCATATTAAAGAGTAGAGATCAATTGACCTGTTTATCGTCACGTAAAACGTTCGCTCAGAAATTGCTTCGATCGGAATACTGGAAAATCGCGTTAATACGTACTTATGTGATTGTACTGGTACGTGTGAAACGCGTTCACGTCTGTTGGATCGGTCGCCCAGCTAAAATACGAAAAGACATTATATGAGATTATGAGAACGATTCTGCGCGTTTTCGCAAAATTAAACGAAAAATCAATTCTGATCAGCGAATGAGAAACAGCGACAACGGCTAGCCTCGTAACAGCAAACTCTGGAAACTTACTATGATTCATTGTTGAAATTAATTTGGTGGATGCATTCCAGCTCGGACAGCGTCATCAGCCGAATGATCTGGACCATGTTGTTCAAGTATTCGGTCTCCGAGAGCTCTATCTGAAAACACGCAAGTTAACCTTCTTCACTGTGCTCCGTTTAACAATAGACTTGGGAACGACGGATCGAAATTGTCCCATACGCCTTCGTAATATTCGTTGAGAAGGTCCACGTCGAACAGCCAATCAGGGAAGCCGATCTGCGACTCCATCTTCCGATTTTTCTCCAGCGTGGCGCTTTTTGTCTGCTTGTCCATCCAGTCGGTGTTCGCAACCAGGGACGCGAATGCTTCCTTTATGTCGGCCAGCATCTCGGACACCTTTTTGCCCTTGTCTTCGTGAAAGGACGGGTCCACGTACAGCCAGGAGACAGCCATCCCTAAATAATAACGGGGCCGCGATCAGAGTGCCGACGGACTTCGCAATAAAATCCAAACGAAACTGGCCACCTATGCAGCCGCATTCGATCTACGCAGCCACGATTTACACTCTAGAAACTAGGAGCGACAACTGAGAGAGAAACTTCACCGACCCATCAGCTCGTTCACGGCGACAGCGCACAAGAATGATTTCGATTCGCCGATCTCGATACTGGTCACCTCGTTCACGTACTTCAACCAGATGTTTCTCAGGTTCATCGACGAGTGGGGAACCACGATATCGATTATGATCCACCAAATGTACGTTTCTGAAATGAACGGAAACATAGGATCGTCGGATATAGTAATTTCTGCCTAATTAGCGCTCGGATTGCGCAGAAAAATTGCGCACAAATGTGGACGATTTGGGAAGAGGAGATACGATTTTGGTAACAACTTATCCTACGTCGAATGTATAAATAATTTCTGTTGCGTTGCGACGCATATTCTAGATTACAGCTGTGATTCTGACGAGTCGTTTGACGATATCTGATTATTTTCGTTTAAAAGGTTATTTTTTTTTTCTTTCAAAAATATAATGTCTCTCTAATTGACGCACGGATCGTCCACAGAAATGGACAATTTTGGAAGAGGAGATGCGATTATTCGAAGCTTGTACCTCGTTTTTATACTTATACAAGGCTCCAATAATCGTGTCTCCTCTTCCCAAATTTTCCATTTTTGTGGACAATCCGAGCGTCAGTTAGGGAGACATTACTGTATGCATTTCTGTTAATCCGAAGTTAATAAACGAACTTTATTAATAACATTATATTTTATTTTATCGGAGAATGAAATATCTCATTAGAAAGTAACATTTATTTCTTAGTAACAACTTATCCCAGAGCGTTATTTTATTTATTGCTCCACGATGGGATAAGAAGTTTCGCTTGAGTTGACCACGAAAAAACGAGTTTCTACAATCTTAAAGCAGAATATATTTAGCAATAAATTAGGAACGAAAATAGCAACTGTATTATATCTTAGTCAATTTATATGTTTTCTCAAAATCGGATCTTCAAGCCCCGGTCTCTCCTACATTTAATTTGACATACACGAGCAAGTGCGTTAACCCTTTGGAGTCTATCGGGATATATGTATAGTATATTTACTTATGTACAGTAAATTCTCCCTAATTCGCGCTCAGATTGTGCACAAAAATGGACAATTTGGGAAGAGGAGATGCGATTATTCGGTTTTATAGTTGTTGACAATCGATAATCATAAAAAACTCTTCTTATAAAGTATCTCCTTTTCCTAAATTGTCCATTTTTGTGGACAATCTGAGCGTCAGTTAGGGAGACATTACTGTATTTCATGCGTCTATTGGGAGAAATGAATCCCATTTCTCCATAACACACGAATATACCAGTCTCAGAATGCATACCACGCACATAATTGTTTACATATGTATAACCAATGGGACACATATGTCCCAGCCCTAAAAGGGATAATCGTCTAAAAGGGATAACTTACACTAATAAAATCAACATCCTGTTATTAGCATCTACATGTACGTAAAACTTGACTTCGGATACAACGCGAATTAACGAAAAATAGATCAGACTCCAAAGGGTTAACCGCGCCGCGTTCTTCGGGCGTTTCTCGACTCCATCGCTTTTCCATTTCTTTATCAGCGTCATAATTGAGTAATACTCGATCCATTCAAGCCTACGTTTTATGAACGATGATCTCGCTGATGCTACTTTCCCAACACTATTACGAATGTATCACGATAACGTTAACGTTTAACCTGATTTCTCCCGAAGACTTCCTTTCAGACTTCCTGGTTATTTCGTTTTATACTTTGATAGCATTTGCAAAATGATCTCGCATTAAACTCTCGATCAAAATATCCCGTGGAAACACATGATGACGCATAAAAATGATCAGACTGTCCGCTCGGAAAGTAGAAACTTCGCTTTACAATGAACTAACGACTGGAAGAATATACAACAAAGCTCTGTCCATTCTCTTAGCAAGCTGTCGAGAAAGTTAAATTCGTTCATCGAGAAGCTCGAATCATCTAAAAATATACACTTTAATTACCACACCTAACAAGCATTAAAAGCGACTGACGCGTGCTTTTTAATAAGAACGACAAGACTGAATTTATTTAGGCTTTACAGCATAAGCTTTTCAGCATACCTGCGTTACGAACTTCGTGCAAAGTTTCAATCGAACAGAAAGAAATAAGTTCACCTAATTCCTCCTGATCGGTGGTGGCGATCATAAGAGCGACCTGCTTGAGGAACTCGAGATCGCCGATCAGCAGCTTGTCCTTGCCGTCCAGATCGAGGCTGCCGACATCCTTGAAGACCATCTCGACGAACGGCCGCCATAACGGCGCTGGCGTGATAGTCGAATTAACTTCCATTATGTAAGCGTCCGTCAGCTCCTGGAGCTCATCAACTGTCATGTAGTCGGCTTCTGTCGGGTCGTCCTCCCATATGCTCTGATTACTTTCCAAACGAGATAACTGCGGCAACGTAATTCCCATGATCGTCCGACATGCCGACCGGCCCGCTTAATCGGCGGGCCGCTTGTAATTGGCGGCGGTTGCAACGGCGTTCGCCGTAATTGAAGATATCTCTTTCCGAGGCGAATTTCGTTTGTTTAACGCGTTGACTGCCACGCGTATTTACAACAAAATCTCCTACAGGCCACCCGTGCCGCTATAGGAAGCGTGCGCTGTTAATTCATATCTGTTTCTGTTCCTGCACGAACAATTGGAATCTTTGCCGAGTACCGAATGGTATAACTTAAAATCTCTGCCCTTATTTTTTTTTCAATAATGAAAAGAGATCGGATTGCCCGGAAGGAGAAGCATAAATAAAATTACATCGTCAGATTCTGATTTGAATACTGATAAATATAATCTTAGTGATAATGAATGTTACGAAGATACTATTGACGAGATTTTACGAGAGAATTGGTCATGGAAGAAGAAAGAAATGTTGATGGTACCGAGGAAGCTACAGTTCAAATAAAAGATACGAAACGGACCGATCAGAGGCACGAGCATATCTGAAAAAACAAACAACTTCTTGTCCAAGCTGACCTGATCAACCTCAACTTCGCAGAGAATGTTTTAATGTTATACACTGCGAATAATTTTTTTAATAAACCATTTTTATAAGAATTCAATAGTTTCATTACCTCCTCTAGAATATTTGTCGAAATATTTTCGGAAATCCTTTGTAAGTAGTCAAATCAGCGTCACCCGAATTACGGGCGACGCGGCCTGATGAGAACTTTTGCTGTCACCCGAATACGGGTGACGCGGCAGTCAACGTGTTAAACGACGGTGCTCACCTGATAAAAGTTAGTGGACAGCTCGTAAAGGATGCCCACGACTTCCTCGAGCTCGTCCTCGCCGCGGAACGGCGAGTCGTCTATCTCGGAACACGCGTCCAGAGTGCCATTAGTAACGACATGCTTAATAACCTCGGTCATGTAAGCCAGTTCTGCTTTCTCGTATTTGCTCGACTCTTCGTCGTCTTCGTCGTCGTCGTCTTCCGCGTCGTCCGCCAGCTTCCGGAAACGGGATCTGATCGAGTGCAATCGTTTCTCCAGTTCCTTGTCGCTGTCCGACCATGGAAACACGACGTTCGCTGAGCATTCGCAGCCGGAAACACGCGATTACGATTCTACAAATAGCCGCCGGCGCAGCTATTAAAATCATTTTACGTGCAGGCTGTATGTCCGATGTCAAGGACGCGAGCTTTATCGTCTTTCGCGCCGCTTTTTTCGAGGACGGCTGTGTCTCTCGCGGACGATTCTCAAGGACGGCGCGGGAGAATCGTTAAAAAAACGTACCGCGATCGAATAACCGGGATATTCGAATAACTCGGCGTTTAACGCGACCAGATATGCATCTGTCTCTAATATTTACTCCATCGATCTCGAAGGGAACGGCTCTTGTCTGTAGATGATGCGATAGGCGGCACGTGATATCGATCACGCCCGTTTGACAAACGTAACGCAAATAGAACAGACAGAACCGATCGCGACACTGTCGTTTCTCAGCGAACTTTCCGTCCAGGAAATGGAAATTTACTTTCAGTTTACCGTTCAAATTCCGATGCCGGATAATTATTTGACGACGGAACTTATTAATTCTATGAGGCAAACGAGTATAGTAAATTCTACATAATTGTACTTCAGCTTGTAAATGAAATTGGACAATTTGGGAAGAGGAGATGCGATTGCTCGAGCCTCGCGTTTCGCTTTTGTAATTACCGATTGTCAAGAATTATAGAAACCAGACGCGAGGCTCGAATAATCGTATCTCCTCTTCCCAAATTGTCCATTTTTGTTGTCCATGCGCAATCTGAGCGTCAATTTGAGAGAATTTATTCTAGATGAAATATACATTCTGTTTCTGCTATCGTCGATAGCCTGTTTCTCGCAATTACAGTAATGTCCCTCTAATTGACACACATTTGACACCACAAAAGTAGACAATTTTGGAAGAGGAGATTTTTTATGATTATCGATTGTCAACAACTATAGAAACGAGACGCGAGGCTCGAATAATCGTATCTCATCTGCCCAAATTGCCCATTTTTGTTCACAATCTGAACATTAATTAGGGAGACATTACTGTACAAATAAAAGTAGCAATATAAAAGTAGAAATATAAAAGTATAAATTCTCCCTAATTGGCGCTCAGCGATCGGTAACTATAAAAACGAACCACAAGGTTACAGTAATGTCTCTCTAATTGACGCTCAGATCGTCTACAAAAATAAACAATTTTGGAAGAGGGAATACTGTTCGAGCCTTGTGGTTTGTTTTTTATGATTATCGATTGTCAACAACTATAAAAACGAACTGCAAGGCTCGAATTATCGTATTATCCCCTCTTCCCAAATTGTCTATTTTTCTGGACAATCTGAGCGTCAATTAGGGAGACATCACTTTTGTTTTACACAAAGATCGACGGTCTAGTAATTATCCAAACGTAAATTTCCCCCAGACCTAGTTTCCCTTTCAACGTTTGTATAAACAAAAAGTAGATGTTCTTTAACCCTTTGCACTCGAGTGATGACTCAGAGGCACCACTAAAATTGTTGTATCACGTTTCGAGGTAATTTTTATATTATCAAAGTTTAGATAGACACATTTACAATTGTTAAATGTGAATCACAAAGCTGAATTTCATATGCATAAAATGCACTTTGTCATGTAAGACAGAAATACAATCAATCAGACAAATTATTTTAAATCTACAGTTAAAATGGCTTTCGAGTGCAAAGAGTTAATACAGAGTGTGAAAGAAGTATAATTTTACGGACTATAATTTTACGAATAACTTTACACTGCGACAAAATTCACAAGCAACTTTCGTTTTCCGACAAAACTTAGCGTATTGAAAAGTCAAGAGTTAAATCTTCGGTATAACCTCGAAGATTCATTTTCTCTCCCTGATTTCTAATATTTCTTGCACACTCTGTAGAAGGCTCTAAGCGGTGCCCAAGGTGATCCTAATAAAACTGAACGAGATTATACTTCGGCAAAGGGTTGCTCATGATGGGTGTGTCCAGCAGCATGATGTTCTTGGTAGTGTTCCGGGGGTCGGGGATCACGTCGAACCCGAAAAAGACGTCCCTTCCCAGAACTTTCTTCACTCTGGCCATCTGTTCGACGTAACTACCCGTTTTCTTGGTAAACGCCGATGGAATCGCCGGCAAATTGAGCGTCTTCAAAAGGTCGAACAATGGCGCGAGTCCCAGCTCGTCCACGGAGTCTGAAAAAAAGTAAAATTAGATTTCCAACCTGTTTGTCGCGATCTCCTGTCAGAGATCATGCAATCTTCTCGAAAGCGAAATCCTCGCGCGAATTTGCTACGCGCGCGAATTCGCTTATCTTAATTTCCGAATAATCAAACTTGACTCGATATGTCAACGTTAACGAGAGAATATATTTCCACAAATTACGTATTCTCGGACATACTCAAACTATTTATATTAATTTTATTTACACGTATTTTCAGCATACCGACGAGCTATGAGAGCATAATGCCTGCGATTCGAGTAATGACGTAGGCAAACCATTATCGACTCAAGTTTTAGAGCTAATGGCTTATAAATCAATTCTGTTCCGTTCTTCTATGTTGAAACGATTTATGAAAGAAGTATTTTAGAAGGAATCATTTAGGAGAAATTAAGAAAGTATTGAAAAGTGATGTGCAACTGATTTAAGTCCCGTTTCTAGCAATCTATGAAGACAGATTTTATTTTGTATAATATAGGGTGTCCCAAAATTATGGTACCTCTGGGAAACGAGGGATTCCTGAGGTCATTTGAAGTAACTTTTTCCTTAGCGAAAATGCAATCCGCGGCTTTGTTTGCAAGTTATTAACGAAAAACACTGACCAATGAGAGGCGAGCTCGAGTAAGCGCGAGGCGACTCAGCCAAGGAGCGGTCGAAGCCCAGTTCCGCTGATTGGCTCGGCCGCCACGCGCCAGCTGATCTCGCCTCTCACTGGTCGCCGTTTTTCATTAATAACTCGTAAACGAAGCCGCGGATTGCATTTTCGCTAAGGAGAAAGTTACTTCAAATGACCTCAGGAATTACCCCTTAATATAATATAATGAGTATAATGAGTATAATGAGTGATCAATTGAACGTGTGAACTGTAGGATAGAGAATAAATTGCTGAACGAAATACCAACGTCCACGCAGCTGTTGTACAATATTTTGGCCTGACTGACAGCCCACGGTGCATTGCTTTTGGTAGTATTGTCTTTCAGGAGTTCCCTAATTTTCCTGTAAACACGATCCCTTCGTTCTTCGAACCACGAGTAAGTTAAACTGCTGTCTGGTACGGGATGTTCTTCAGGCCATTTCCCACAAACATATCTGCAAAATATATCTCTATTAGGAGAACAAATTAATATGACGCGTTTTGACGATAAAAACATATAGACATTAATAATAGTAAGCATCAGTGATATCTCTATTTTGATATTGCTGACGAAAAGTGCACTCTGCAACGTGTGTGCATACGGTAAGTTTGCAAAGTGCTTCGGACAACGTCACCCTAGACAATCGCGTACTCACTTATAAAAATCGTCACAAGGATCTACAGATGTGTCCATAGATCCTTTCAAACTAGCAGCTGGAAGGGTAAAAAATTTTACAGAATAATTAGCTCTTTTCTCATGTCTTTCCTACATGAATGCTTTATAGTATTTTCGAAAAGTTCACGAGGAATGAATTATTATTACTTAAAGATTACTATATCATTATTTATTATATAGTACATAAAAATTATATTATATAATAATATAGTAATAATATTATATAATATTATAATAATAATATTATATAATAATATAGTAATAATATTATATAATAATATAATAATATTATATAATTAATATAATGATATATAAATATATATAAGTATATATAAAAATTATATTATAGAATAATATAATAATGATATTATATAATGATATATATATACTAAATATTATTACTTAAAGATTACGTATATATATATAGCTATAGCTTTTTAATTTGTATTAATAAAATATTGCTTTCAGACTCACCTATACGAACACACATCTCAGTTTCGCAAAGCTTCGGCGTCCTGCGGGTGAAGACTGTAAAACAGTATAATTCTTAGCGCCAGCACAAGCTAATAATAACACTTATGGAAATACTTTTAATCAAATTGAATTATAAACGAAAATTGTGTGTGATCTAGATCAGAACGCAGCGTAAGGTTAATAATTTTCGGTACACGTAATCACGAAAATTTGTCATCCTGAATTACTAGATAGATTGTAAACATGCTTTCAACAGCACAGATTACATGCTATTAAGATCTATCAAAACAGGCTACGATGAAGTATTACGGAGATTCTAATCGCCGCACACAGGTTTAATGAACTGACTCAGCAGAAGGTAATGTAATCACACCGGTCTATCAAATTGTGCGCCGTTTTTGCCTCGATCGATGGAGATTGCATTGGCTATGCAATTAATCCAAGCAGGCATGAAGGCAACAATGTGTTTATAAACAAATTTATGCGAAATTTTTGTTGGAAAAATTCACAAGGAGTAAATGAAAACATTAGGTAACGTAACTTTCATTCCTACATTTAGGAATCCAAGAATAGAACTACGGAAAGTTCATAAACGACCGATTCTATATTAATTTAGACATTTTCGCATTTAACAGCGTAAACTTAGCGATTCTTAGTCAATTTGAATTTATTCGATGACGCACGTTTACGATTCGAATCCAATAATTCGTATTCAATAGCCAATGCAAGGATCGACAACTGTAATTTTGCTTTCTACTCGTTAGCGAAAAATTCATTGAAATTATCGATTATCCGCTGTACGATTACAAATACTTACACAGTATAGAGATCGTTACGACAGCTATAAAACAGAGAATCATGAACAGAAGAGAGAGGGCTATTAAGCAATTCGGTACGTATCTCCGTCTCCTGAAGCTGGAAAGGAAACAGAGCTAATTGCCGGTTTTTAATCGGGGATCGTCGATCTCGCGTTCACTTACTAGGCACCTCTGGATCTTATCGGCACCAGGTTCGCGTTGCTGGCGATCGTGTAAATGGATTGCGATTCATCCTCTGTGAAAAAAAAGAAACGAAACTAATGGCATCATGATTCGTTTCGACGTTTCTTACGGCGCAACTCTAATGACGATCTCATCAACACTTGCTACGCGAGAGAACAACAAATCGACTTGCTTCCAATTTTTGCGAACGAACGCATTGGAAGAACGACAAATTGGCTTGCTTCCAATTTTTGTGAACTAATGCATCGAAAGAACAACAAATTGGCTTGCTTCCAATTTTTGCGAACATATCGAAAGAACAACAAATTGACTTGCTTCCAATTTTTGCGAACATATCGAAAGAACAACAAATTGACTTGCTTCCAATTTTTGCGAACGAACGCATCGAAAGAACAATTTTATTCGCTTCCAATTTTTTGCGAACGAACGCATCGAAAGAACAACAATTTTATTCGCTTCCAATTTTTGCGAACAAACGCATCGAAAGAACGACAAATTTACTCGCTTCCATTTTTTGCGAACGAATGCATTGAAAGAACGGCAAATTTATTCGCTTCCAATTTTTGCGAACTAACGCATCGAAAGAACGACAAATTTACTCGCTTCCAATTTTTGCGAACGAATGCATCGAAAGAATAATTTTATTCGCTTCCAATTTTTGCGAACGAACGCATCGAAAGAACGACAAATTTACTTGCTTCCAATTTTTGCGAACTAACGCATCGAAAGAACGACAAATGTACTCGCTTCCAATTTTTGCGAACGAACGCATCGAAAGAACGACAAATTTACTCGCTTCCAATTTTTGCGAACTAACGCATCGAAAGAACGACAAATGTACTCGCTTCCAATTTTTGCGAACGAACGCATCGAAAGAACGACAAATTTTCTTGCTTCCAATTTCTGCGAACGAACGCATCGAAAGAACGACAAATTTTCTTGCTTCCAATATCTGCGAACGAACGCATCGAAAGAACGACAAATTTACTCGCTTCCAATTTTTGCGAGCGAACGCATCGAAAGAACGACAAATTTACTCGCTTCCAATTTTTGCGAGCGAACGCATCGAAAGAACAATTTTATTCGCTTCCAATTTTTGCGAACGAACGCATCGAAAGAACAACAAATTGACTTGCTTCCAATTTTTGCGAACGAACGCATCGAAAGAACAACAAATTGACTTGCTTCCAATTTTTGCGAACATATCGAAAGAACAACAAATTGACTTGCTTCCAATTTTTACGAACGAACGCATCGTAATTCATATTCGCAGAAAATTCGTCTGTCTGTTCGTCCTAGATGGACTCTCGACACTCGAAGCGTCATTTTAGAGCGTCCAAGATTTATTTTCCATCCTCGCAATCACAAATCGAAGAGAAAGATAGAAGAATAGAAGAACAGAGAATGTGCGAAGGTATAAACTGGAGAACGGCGAACGCTGAAATTGGAACTAAAAAGGCAACCGAAACGCCGGTCGTCGACCGATATCCAAGCTGTTTCATCTGTTGCAGCACGAGCATGTCTTGGAAGCCGGTCGAAACATGCAATCTGCAAACGGTCCCGGTAGCAGAGACATGAATGACAGTGCATCTTGATTACAGGAATAGTCAAAAGTGGGACACGTATATCCCGGCATTAGCCAGCGCCGCGAAGTTGAAGTCTCTTGAATGAAGGTGGCCGAGGGTGGTCGACACGAGAAACGAATAAATTTTCATCGCGGCAATTGCCGGTCGGGTTATAAGAGATCCAGAAGGAAGGAGTCGGCCGAATGGAGGAAGCGAATGAAAAGTATAAATATACTCACTGCGCTCGTTCATGCTGAATGGCCCACTGACCGGATCGAACTGACGACACTGAACAACCTCGAGGGACAACGAGCTATCCATACGTTCACATTTTCCTGGTTCGCCAGTGGTTCTCGTTACGACGTCCCACAGCTCGTCAATTTTCACCGGACCCGTCGTTACCTTCACCCCAGCGACGCGTCGCGCCCCATTAGAACGGCAAGTCGCGGTGGCTATACCATCGTGAAGTTTTAATGAAGTTCCGCCACGGACCTGTTGGCAAGTTTCGCGATAGACCGGCAATTTTGTTGAATTTGTACAATGCCGGGCCCTTAATCGACGGCGAACAACCGAACGGAAATTGAGGGTATTAACTGCGTAGGGGCGAGTAATTAATCCGGAACCCTTTCTGTTCTCAACAGAGTTACAACGCTGCGTTCGAATGTCCGTTCCGTTTGCACGACTTTTTGCGTTCGCGAGAAAGAAGACGACGCGAAATGTAAAATAGCAGAAATTTCCGATCGATTCAAGAACATTTGTATATTTCAGTCGATTTATTCAAATTTAACACGTTGACTAGTCGCGTCACGGTGACACGAATTTTTAACTGGATTTTGAGACTCGTTTTTATTACGATATTATTCGAACGATATGAATGTATGATGTACAGGGTGCCCCAAAATTATGGTACTTCCGAGGAATATGTTTCTTCAAGTGTTGTTTGCTTCTCGACTGCAACTTTTGTTTTACATATTCTAAATAAGTTCCATAATTATGTAAACGCTCGGGAAGGACTGATTTATGAAGTTATTTGAAGCAACTTTTCCCTTAGCAAAAATGCAGTTCGCGGCTTCGTTTACGAGTTATTAACGAAAAACGCTGACCAATGAGAGATCGCGAACGGCTAACGCCCCGCCCTCGCGACCACTGCCGCTGCGTTAGACGGCCGGCGCGTCACTGAATTGGCCGCAAGAGCGGTGCACCGGCCGCTCTTGTTCTCCGATTGGTCCGTGTTTTACCTTAATAACTCGTAAACGAAACGACGGACTGCATTTTCGCTAAGGAAAAAGTTGCTTCAATTGACCTCAGGAACCTATTATTTCCCAGAAATACCACAATATTGGAATACCCTGTATAAGAAGGATCATATTGTACAAGTTTAACCAGAATTCATGGTAAAACCGAGCAGAGACTGATTCTACGTGAAAAAATAAGAAACAAATTTAGTACAACATTTTCTTTATCACATTGTCGGCGATTAATTTATGCAATAGAGCGTATTCAATGGAACAAACGCGGTGGAAACGTATTATGCTCGCGGATGAAAAAGAAACTGAATTTGGATGAATATAAATCCAGATGAATATAAATACTGTTTCCACGATTTAAGAAAAAAGCAAAGTGTGTTATGTTATCGACAACGTGGTGGATGTGCAGTGATGATATAGACAGGTATCGGCTATAGAGAAAACACGGAAATAAAATTTATTCAAGGCCGTATGAATAATGCTATCTACTGAAATTTAATCAAGGATAAAATGGAGACTCACGCACGCAGATTTGCTGGGACAAAATATATAGTAAACAAATTATTTTGAATGAAAAAATATAAAGGCTTTAAATTGTCCAGCAAGGTTTCCTGACCTAAGCTTTATCGAGAATGTTTGCAGATAAATAAATGTTCTACCTTATTTTTTCACGTAGAATCACCCTCTGCTTGGCTGTGCTACGAATTCCGGCTCATCCTGTATATAACCGAGTATTAATAGGATTTTAATTACGCAAACGAGTCAGACTAATAATTATTATGGTTAATTCGGCTCGAATTCCGGTTCACTCTATATATAACTGAATATTACTAGAATTTTAATTAGGCAAACGAGTCACACTAATAATTATTATGGTTAATTCGGCACTAGTTCCGGCTCACCCTGTATATAACTGAATATTACTAGGATTTTAATTACGCAAACGAGTCAGACTAATAATTATTATGGTTCACTATCTTTTGTTTCAGTTTCGTTAATTAAATGACTTTAATATTGTGGAAATTTTTGGTGTTGATGCTCGTCATTTAACCAGATAATCGAAGAAGCGCAATTACAAGCGTGTCTCCCAAAATCATGATCTTGAATAAAAATCCACAGCGCCTATTATTTACTTGTCCGAATTTCTCCACTATTCCTCTCGCCCTCAATTAATACGTTTTTATTTATTATACTAGCTTTACTTTGCAATAAACGTCTGTTTACTTTGCAATAAACCTCTGTTTACTTTGCAATAAACGTTGTTCGGCGCTGTCTGTAATTGTGCATCGACAATCAACTGTGCTAGAATCGTTGCGAGCTTATAGTAATTTCTCCCTAATTCGCGCTCAGATCGCGCACGAAAATGAACAATTTGGGACGAGGAGACGCGATTATTCGAGCCTCGCGTCTCGTTTTCATAGTTGTTGACAATCGGCGACTATAAAGACGAGCCGCGAGGCTTTAGGGAGAAATTAGGGAGAAATTACAATACTTCGATTGATAAAACGTTTACTTAAATTTTAAAAACCAATTTTTTACTATAGTGGAGACAGTCAGTCGAGTCCTATTATGCGAACTACAGTAAATTCTTCCCGATTGTATTTCAGCAATTAAATAAAAATGAATAATTTGGGAAATAAAAATGAATAATTATTCGAGCTTTGCGTCATGTTTTTACAGCTGTTGACAATCGGCGACCATAAAAACGTGCCGCGAGGCTCGAATAATCGTGTCTCCTCTTCCCAAATTGTCCATTTTATTCTATTTACAATCTCAACATTCGATGAGAATGCTGTAGAATACCGTTGGCTTTCCCTAAACGATGAACTTCCTTCGCTCATCGGCTCGACCTTCGACCCAATCGACGTGCAGAGTTGATTCTTAAAACATACCGCGAAAGACGGTGATCGATGTAATTGTTGTGTCGTAGTCTAGACCGCGCGGTGCGTAATATTGGGTTGGCAACTAAGTATTTGCCGATTTGTTCAATGAAATAGAAAATTTTTTTTTACTTGGAACGAAGTTTAATCTGCAATGTATTTTCCATTTTGTTCGATGACCTTTTGCCATCTCTCTGACAACTTGAAAATTCCACACTCGTAGAAAGTCTGATCCTTTTCGGCCAAAAACTGAGTTAAGTGAGATTTTACAGCGTCATCGTCGTTAAAAGTTTTACCACGAAGGGAGTTGTCCAGGGATCGAAATAAGTGGTAATCCGATGGCGCGAGATCAGGGCTATACGGTGGGTGTAACATCAGTTCCCAACCAATATCCATCAATTTTTGCCGAGTGGACAAAGACGTGTGCGGCCTAGCATTATCCTGCTGGAAAATGACACCTTTACGATTGACCAATTCTGGTCGCTTTTCCTTGACCGCTGTATTCAATTTGTCCAGTTGCTAACATTCACGGATAATAAAAAATAACTTAATAATAATAATAATAATTTTATAATATAACATTTACGAATATCATAAAAATGGGAGTGAGATACATCTATAACTGTGAAATCGGCAATTACTTAGTTGCCAACCCAATATAATCGACGGCGACCTGGGCACCAAATGATTTCGCGAGCGCCCTCGGGCATGATATTAGCATACGGAAGTCGCAATTTACATAAGCAAAATTCCGCCGCGGCGATTAGCCGTTCAACGGCGGAGATTCGTGTTTTCCTTCCTGAAAATCGCGGCGTGTCGCAACATCTTCGCACGATTTTTACTGCGGATTCGACTCGGATGAACGATATAAAGCAATCACCGTCGTCTGTTTAGAAAACGTTCGGCCGCTCGGAGAAAGCGGAAAATCAAGTGAAATGTGCGGATCGCCGTTATTAGGTCGCGTAATCGGTGAAGAACATCTCGGTAAACAAGCGCATGGAAATCGGTCACTCTGTTTATGTAAGAGGAAATCGATGTCCGATAATGTTCCGTTGACCATCAACTGAATTATACAACAGAACTCTCGAGTCGGGAGCAAGAAATTGAAATGTTTCCGCTTAAAATCTCGCGACAATGAAGCACGTATTACGAATGTAAATTATAAAGCTAGAAATATCTCAATGATGTTGGAAGATAGTTAGTTCGCTTCCGCTTGATTTTTCCAGGATGAAAATCGTTTTCCTAAAACAGCTCTGAACAACGATCAATCGACGCTGGAAGCGTTGATTGAATCCGTTCGGTAATCAACGAAGATTGCTGCCTAAAAGGGTGTCTTATTGATCGGCGCTGTTGTTCCGCGATGACTAGCAGAAAAAACAGTAGAACACGATCGATGTCTTCCGGAAAAGCGGATGACAACGTTGGCATCACGTGTCGACGCAATGTACAGTAAATTCTCCCGAATTTTTATTCAGCTTGTAAACAAAAATGGACAATTTTTTGAAGATGCGATTATTCGAGCCTCGCGGCTTATTTTTATAGTTTCACATTGTCAACAATTGTAAAAATGAGGCATGAAGCACAAATAATCGTATCTCGTTGTCCGAAATTGTTCATTTCTGTTTACAAGCAGAAGGAAAATTAGGGAGAAATTACAATACTTCAATCGATAAAACGTTTACTCAAATTTTAAAAACCAATTTTTTACTATAGTGGAGACAGTCAGTCGAGTCCTATTATGCGAACTACAGTAAATTCTTCCCGATTGTATTTCAGCAACAAAATAAAAATGAATAATTATTCGAGCTTTGCGCCACGTTTTTATAGCTATTGACAATCGGCGACCATAAAAACGAGCCACGACTCACAAATATATATATATAATCGTGTCTCCTCTTGCCGGCTTATTTTTATAATTTCCCATTGTCAACAATTATAAAAACGAGGTATGAAGCACAAATAATCGTATCTCGTTGTCCGAAATTGTTCATTTCTGTTTACAAGCAGAAGGAAAATTAGGGAGAAATTACTATACTTCGATTGATAACACGTTTACTTAAATTTTAAAAACCGATTTTTTACTATAGTGGAGACAGTCAGTCGAGTCCTTTTATACGAACTACAGTAAATTCCTCCCGATTGTATTTCAGCAACTAAATAAAAATAAATAATTTGGGAAATAAAAATGAATAAT